CGCGAGCGTCCATACAAAGGACGTCCGCGCTTCTTATCAACAAAACCTTGACTTTCTACCCTCACTCTTAGATACCCTGTAAATCAAAAAACAATCTCGGCGTAAGTCCAACTTAAACAATTTTTCGTGTTATCTTCCTGTGAAATGTATTTTAATAACACTCAATTAGAAAACAAGTTGAGTTTTATTTTCGAACTGCAGATTACAGATAACTTACTCCTAACAAACAACGCAACTCAAATGACTGATTTATGTGTAGCAAATTTTGTCAGGCGTTACCATACCTGACTGATTATCTCATGTTTTAAGATACTCACGTCTTCGACGACGACGCCGGTATATCTTTATCCTGATGCGTCTCGCTTTGCCATATCTGCCATTTCTTTTCTGAACGCGGTAGCCCTTTCTTGCTCTTCTCAAAATGCGTATCTTTCTTCTGTACTTAATGTACCTTACAACGCGGCGTTTGATTTTTTTCCACCTGTTTCTCAAACGTATAAACCATTTCCCTCGTCTGAGTCTCACTGGCCGCCTTCTACCTCCAATACGACAGGTCAGCCTGATGCGCTTTATCTTTCTCCAACGTCGACCCCGCTTATAGAACCAGCGTTTCCTCCGTCTCTTCAGTCGACACCAACGTCTCTTAATCCGCACGCGCCATCCACGGTAGGATCGCTTTATTTTTCTGTACTTCCTTAATAAAAACAATCTGATTTTGCGTTTATATCTTCGGATGACTTTCTTTTTCCTACCAATGCGAATGGTATATCTTCTCTTCGTTCTAATCACACAGCGTCTGCCACGGTATTTGATCACTTTTCGCCCTGTTGTTTTGCAAAGAAATAAAATAACGTTGGATTAGCATGCTTCACAAAGGCTAACTCGAGAAAACTAGAAAGGAAGGTATAGAGTGATTTCAATTAATCCGTAAAATAGTTAGTGAAAAAAAAAACGTAAAAAATTATGTCCACCTTTTGAACCATCAAAACCTTAAGCTTAAGCTTGATATAGTTGTTTTCCAGAAACATGCAATGAAAGGGAACCTGGAATGTAACACTGTTCCCTCTAATTGCTGATTATGGAGAATGTGTCCGTTTCCAGTTAAAATGTTCAAATACCACGTCTTTAGGATGGATTCGCTTTCTCCAGTTAAATAATTCGTTACAGAATCTTGAAAATGACAACCATTTCAGTCCTAGTTTTGAGATCCTAATTCAACGCAATTGGCGTACTTAACACTGCAATACAAGGTTGACATAGGTGTTGTTTCGAAAGGCAGCTCTCGCTAACTTTATCCGGTATTGATAAAACCTCAGCTCTCAAAATTGGCATTTATTTCTTATTTCAGTATTTCTAGAAAAGAAAGCCTCATTGGCCGTATGTGGTTTTCAATGAGGGTCAGCGGGCTGCTTTTGTGTCACGATAGTTAAAACAAGCAAGATACATAACAAATAGAAACATACGTCGTGGTCTCCTGCGCCTTGGTCGATAGCCTGAAGTTAAAAGAGAGCAAGTGCTTAGTAAGCAGGATTAGATCCAGAGCTTCCGTTAACACATAATAAGACTGCTAAATTACCACAAGAAAATCACATAATTAAGCCTTGGCCTGTGGAATGTAAAACAAGCGAACTCTTTAGGCGAGATGGCACATGGTAAGGTCAAACTACCCAGATTTTCGCGTTCCAAAAAAAAATTACGGGGAAGGTAATGACCTTGTCAAACATGTTTTCACTTTTAATCTGAAAAATAATACCCCAACATCACCCCGGCCTCCTAGTTCCAGTCTCCTCTTAATTTGTTTAGGTCTTGTTTCCGACCGAATGACCCAAAAACGGGAAACGCATTCGAGGATAAACGAAAAAAGGGGGAAATGGCCTAATGGTCATCTTACTGACTCCCTCCTCACTTGAAATCCACTTTAGCACAATGATTTTTCTAGCGCAGGTCTTACGTCTACTTTTAACAAAAATACTCAAGGACTTTTGGCCAGGATTGTAGGTGGGATCATGGTCGTCCAAGTTCAATTCCCGGAGAGCGCTTTATGCATAACCAGCTGGCCAGCTGGGATTTTGAAAAGTTTACGTCCAATTTGCTGTATTTTGTTGGTTATTTACAGTGTCCACGATTAGAACAGCAGTGATAATTTTAGCTGGTACTTAATAATGTAACTATATTTCTAATATTTTACGCAAACTGAAACTCTCACATCTTTTCAAGATCTCTTCGCTGTCTTTCCTCGTTTTTTGAGCGATGCGATACAAAAGGAGAAGCCAAGGTGTAAATATCTATAACAAAAGAAGATTTGAGAGGCCGTAGAGGATACAACGAAGGTTTACATACCTCTGGGGATGCGTACACTCAGAGAACTGGGACCTCTTCTCCGTGGACGGCTTGTCTCCCTTATCCAATACTTACGGCGACCAACGTAGCCAATAAGGGCATAACTACCCCTGAAGCCAAATCGGAAGTTCCGGCCTCCCCTGGCGCCAATTCTCCGAAGAACGTTGAGGTATCTTTTACCATAGCGATACGCTTCGTCTTGGGCGGCGACAACCACAATTCTCCTGTGATTTTAATACAATATAAAATGATGAAGCGTCGACTAAGCATTAAATTACTGATGTGGTGTTAAATCAAGTGATCTCCGAACTCGAAAAATTCTGAAGGAACAACTGGAGGGACGAGAGGCGGAGTTAAAGGGACACAGTCAGCTTTGGGACCGCACTGACCTGGACACTAGTTTCTCACTTTGAATTATGGTCACCTCGACCTGAAATCAAAGTATATCTAGAAATCCGCTTCAATCTTCACAGTGTTTTTCTTGATTTTCAATCGTTTACTGAAAAACCTGTGGGCTTTTGCTCATCCTATGACATTATTTTTATCATATTTGGTTAAAAACAGTATGAATCGTGTCTCTGTGATTTGCAAATTAGCTATGAAATGGTATCTAATGCGCATGTGCGACAGCTGACTGTGTCCCTTTAAGGGCAGCCCCCTCACTTTTTAACACCACCCCCCCCCCCCAAAAAAAAATTCCTCTAGGTAAACACAAGGCATACTGAAAAGGTCAATTCGGAACGAGAGGTTCAGATATAAAAAAATCATTTACCTTTTTTTTCTTTTTGGTAGAAAGGCAATTTGTATTAAATTCTTCACAACCAAAATAGGCCGTGTCCGGTCATTGAGTTTGGGAAAGTCTCTTTTTGAGCCATTCATTTAGATTTCTGATGCTCGCTTTCTCTACTCCGTGACCACTCACTCGTAGAAATCGTTTACTTGTAATCCCGAATTGTCGATTTGCTTATACCACGCTAACTTCATTCACTGATCCTCAACGCGTTTGTGGGTATTCACTGGTTGTTTTCATTTACAGTGAAAAATTACATAAATGTGAGAAAAGAAGAAGATACTTTGAACTAAAACTGACAAACAAGGGTCTTACTTTCAGAGAGAAATAGTCATTTTGTTTTACCATCGCTCGTGCTCGAACTAAGTGTTATCGCTACCGTCGCTTACATCTAAGAGTGAACACGTGACGCCGAAACATGCTCTAATTGGGTGTCAAGAGTGGCCTGATCGGTCATCAAACATTTGAAGTTTAGCAGACCGTAACGCGAACTTTCGCGCCAAAAGTTCAGGTGAACATTTTCAGCGCGAAAGTTCGCGTTACGGTCTACTAAACTTCAAATGTTTGAAGACCGATCATACCACTTTTGACACCCAATTAGAACATGTTTCGGCGTCACGTGTTCACGCTTAGATGCAAGCGATGGTGTTAAACTAGCTCAGCAGTGTTTCATTGATGATGGCATTTCACTGACGCTCTGATTATTGATAGCAGTCGAGGCGTAGATTTATACTAAAACAACTAGATTATTCGCTTGAGTTTTCTATGCGTGATATTTGACTTGAGTTGTTGAACGTTCACGCGATTTAACAAATTGATGTCAGTTTTTCATGTGTCTGTCATGTTATTGATCATGAATTTCGTCATAACATTGTCAAAGTAGCTGTGGATCCACGAGGGGATGGCCGAGTGGATCCGCAGACTACTTTAGCAATGTTATGACGAAATTCATTGTCAATAACAGGACAGAAGCATTAAAAGCTGCCTTCAATTTGTTTTTTACGATAACAAATTGTCAAATTGTCCGCCCTCGCTCGCTCGCTGACGCATCTCATATATTATAAATTCATGTGTCTTTCCGCTTATTGACAATAAAAATTAGCCAATGAGCGCGCGAGAATTTCTGCAATTATCGCAAAAAAAAATCTCGAGCTCATAATCTTATTGTTAAGTACATTGCTAAAACGGAAGATTGCAAAGAAAATGCTCAAATGCCCCGCCCGGGAAAAATGAAACTTACTTGCGTCTAATCCTTTTAATAAATCGATTAAAATTCCGGGCACTCCCCCTATTGCCGTGGGTGTCAAAAGATCTCCTTTGCACGACATAACCTATTACAGTAAAAAAAAAAGGGTTGGTCATAATAATAATGGTAACAATAGTAGAAAAGTTCTTATTGGTGCGATTAAGAATCTCAGCGTGCTAATAATGTGTGAGCGAATGTCACTTATATAATGACAACTTTAACATAATTCTGATCCCACTGCATTTCTCATACGTTAAAAGAAACTCATAGTGTAGTTTTCAATGAGCCATTTGCGAGTTCCTTGTGCCTCTGTTTCAAAACGAGTCTTCGCGCAAAACCTTTCATGCGAAAATGATTTGATTTGCATGAAAATGAACGTGTCGGCGGAACACATTTTCATATGAATGGTTTCGCACGATCGCCAAGAGTCGTTTTGACACAAAGGCAACTGAAAGGTAACTCGGAAATGGCCCAATGAGTGGCTGGGTAATCCAAGCTTTTAATTGGCTTTGTTTCACTTCAAGATATTATTGGCTGGTTTAAACAATATCATCCACCTGTCCACCAGTCAGAAGCTAGACCGTAATCGTAACTGGCCAATTGCAATTTGAAGATGCGCATTTACCTGAGCACTTGGGACGGGCTCTCTTCTTGTTATATTGTGTCGCCGTTTAAGTTATAATTACTTGGTAGCTGCGATTGTTTTGTTCTTGGTCTCATACATGACACTCACTCATTAGAAACCCACTCCGATGGTTTAAAACGAGACATATACTGTTTAAAAAATACACAAACTCCGAGAATCTCATTATTGTAGTATTTAGCCTGTATTTGGAAAAAAAGCAAGCATAAAAGTCAGCCCCATTCTTTACTAGAATATGTTAATTCATCTTGCCTTTGCGGTTAAGAACAACAACGTTGAAACCGCGGCGTCGAGGAGATTTTTCTCTTCCGTTCACTTTGATGTAGGCTCGAGCGCGTCCTGCTAGTATGCGACCATTCTTTCTGTCTTCGAAGCCTTCACTGCGAACAGTTACGTAGATATACTCTGAGGATAAGCAAATCGTAGAAATAAGTTTTTTTAACTGTTTACTATTTGATTTGAGAACATTTCTTAACTCTTCCTAATCTCACTGTTCCTTTGTCCTAGAAAAGCCAGGAGAAAATACTCGGAGACACTCGAAATAAAAATGGCATGAAAGTGAAGAATGACCATCGCAGTAAATTTTCCATTCTTCACTTTCATCTACAACCGCAGTTCAAATATGAATTATTTCATATATACTTCACAGCATTTCACNTGATTTTTTCAGGCTTCTTCTTTCCAATTGCTTAAATTGGAAAATTTACCGCGATGATCATTCTTCACTTTTATCTACAACCGCAGTTCAAATATGAATTATTTCATATATACTTCACATAAGAATGGCACGTTAGGATAGAATAATAGAGATAGGTCAAGCTTTTCATAGACCCTTTTCGTAAATTTAAATTTTTTTTGCTTGCATTTAAATAAACTTTACTAACGTCGTTTGAGAATAAAAAATTCTTTTGAGTTAACAACTTGAAAACAATGTCTGTAAGGCTAATTTCAATACTAAAACAGGAATTTATAATTGGCAGTCATTAATGAGAAGGTCTACAGCACCGTCAACAGCCTTACAACATCCATTGAAATGAGATTTATCGCCAAGATAAAGCAAAACTTACTCCTATATCGTCTCCTTCTTCGTCGTCGTCGACGCCTTCGCCTTCGTCGTCTTCGTCGCTCTGGAAGTTTTTACAAAGAAGATAAAGACTAATGTAAATTTAGTGGGCGAAAATCCCCCGTTTGCATTCCCTTCCCAAAGTTTACATTACCTTGCACTGCCTTTTATTTGCGGCGAGACATCACTGCACTATTTGCAGCTCGAAAGTTATTGGTAATGTAAGAGGTTATCAACTGTTTCACTCTTATCGATGTTACCACTGCTGACCACTTGATTTCGTTGGGTCCACTAGATTCCAGCTCCCATGTTCAATTAAGCTTCCTCTTCCTATATCATTAATTTCTGAACAGCTTAAACATCTGCGGCTACTTTACGGGTTATCTGACGACTAACGCACCATCGTAAAAAGCTGGTTTTCTTCGTTCTACATCAAAAAAACCCCAGCATGCACCAAGAACTTACGGAGGAAGTTTATTTTGAGTTACACCAGGGAAGCCTAGATACCTCGCGTGCTCGAGCCGCCTGACTAAGGAACAGTTTTGTCCGATTGTGTGTCGCTTTGAGTCTATCAGTGCAGAAATGCAGCAAAATAAATTGCTTGATTCCATAGGGATGCCAGCTAATACAGTAGTTAATTGCCCTTAGTATTTGACCAAGACTGATCTTGAGCTGACAAACCAGGGGGGTACCCTGAGGGTACTCCCTAAAATTCCTTATACGGGAGGCTCCGACCGAAAGGGGTACCTTTTTACTTCGGGTATACAAAAGGGTAGGGATTTCACAAGATGAGGTAAATGAATGGGTAGGGAAATCTGGTATTTAGGTATGTAAAAGGGCCTTTAATTAAAATATTTCGAACAGACGCACCTTGTGGCTGTATCTGATAATGCTTGATGTTCTCCCGTAATATTGTTCATTAACCTCATTCCGAGCGTTTAAAAAAGGAATACAGTGTTCTTAAGTAGCTAGGTATGTGAACGGGGTACCTTTGTTCAATAAAAGATATGCAAAATGGTATACAAAGGGTAAGGAGTTGGACCTTGGGACGGAGTCTCTCCGTATAAAATTTTGTAGAGTACCACCACTCCCCTACCCCCGGACTGAAAAACTACTAATCTGTTTTCTTACGCCTTCGTCTTCTCCGTCTTCGACGTCTTTTTCTTCGCCTTCTTCGTCTTCTTCGCCTTCTTCGCTTCCGGTATTTTCTTCTTCGGTACCGTTTCCGGTATCTTCTACCGAATCGTCTTCGTCCGCCTTTATATTTGAAAGAAGCGAAAACAAGTCAGGGGAAGCGGTCTTTTTAAAGTTTACAGTCCGTAATAAAGTCGCTAGACACGATTTCAGCAAATTTAACCTGATTAAACCTCTTTGTATTGTATGTAAATAATTCGCTTATAGTCTGTTTCTTATTAGAGATATCCTTAATGCGATATAACAAAGTTATCTTATTGTATCTTATCTCATCTTATCTTTATTAAGGAGTATTACGCCAACAGTCCATGCTTTTGGACGAACTTTTTTTTTTTCAATTTTAGACCTTGCTGTTGCTGTTGTGTTGTTTTTGTTGTTGTTGATGCTACTGCTGTTGTTGCTGTTATATTTTGTTATACTGTAAAATTTCTTATTTCTGTTAACTTGATTTCCATTGTTAACCTATATTGGCAAAGCATTTAAAAATGGGTTGCCGACACGAATCATTGCTGAACCAATAACCACTCCAAAGGCTACTGATTATCACTCACGTCTTCCTCGTAAACGGCGGCCGCGACGCCGGCGGCGACGACTTGGCCTTCCTGCACAGAAAAAAAAAGTGATTTTAAAAACACTTTCGCAATCACTATATACATAGCATTTTATGACATAATAGACGAGATATACAAAACTTTTCCGCCCCTTCGTGGCTACTCAAAATCATATGAATATTCCTATTCTGCTGGAATTCGAAAGAACATCCCAAATACTTTGAACAGTATTACCGACGTAACACCCGAGGGATGTATCACTNATCATATGAATATTCCTATTCTGCTGGAATTCGAAAGAACATCCCAAATACTTTGAACAGTATTACCGACGTAACACCCGAGGGATGTATCACTTCCTTATTGGTTTCTGAGAGGTTAAACATGTTTGTGACATCAGTAAAGCGTCTTTTCCAAGTACGACGAAGAAAAGGCAAATCGCGACCCTCCCGTACCCTCGCCCCATCTTAGGGTGGAGCTCTAACCCAGTCCGTAGGTATTTGGCTCCACGTCGCCAAGAACTTTGTATTCTGTTCTATTCTTTCCTGGTTACACCTCGTTCTGGCACCGTTGGTGCCAAATACTACTAAAACCCCTCTTCACTCTCCGTCGACCCTCGCTTCCACCGGAGTGATGTGCCCATCTCTTTTAATAACAAAGGATTCACACAGAATATGTGATCTATTCAGCTCCAAACTTACTCCTGTATCCTCGACGCCATCTCAACCATCGGCCACGATACCTTGGCTTGAACTTGTTACGTCGCCTCTTCACCGGAACTGATCGGCCTTTGTACTTTATACGATATCTAAAGTGAGATCGGATTTTTCGCCATCGCTTCCCCAAGAGAAGATAAAAACGCTTCCCACGTCGTTTAAGCGGTAGCCATCGGCGGCCAAAACGTATTCGCCAGGTCTTAGGCGATCTTCGCAGACGGTACAGCCTGCGTTTATATCTTATGTACCACCGGATACCCTGGCGAATCACTCTGCGCCAAATTCTTCTGTATTTAACATACCACCGACCACGAATGCGTCTGAGATAACACCACCTGTTGAGGACCTTAATCTGATACCTGCCCGTGCGACGGACTCGGATCAAGCGCTTGCGAAAACGGATACGCCACGTCCGCTTCCATCGGTGAACTCGGCGGTAGCGTTTTTTAAAATAGATCCGTCGAGGGCGCCATCCTGAGGAAGAAATCAAAATAGATCTTTTCATTAATTACTACTCTTAGTTATTCTTCGATCAGACGTTTCCAGGGTCTCCTAATGTTTATCATCAGCTCGAGTTCACAAGTTCACTTAGTTCTGCGACAGACTGCTCACGATGTATTCTACTGCCTGCATACGAGGTAGGTCTGTAGACGAGCCAAGTGACCCATCAAGACAGTGCTTATCCCGGTTTTAGTAGCACGAAGCGACTAGGAGTATTTCTACTCCCCCCTCCCTCCTCCCTCTCCCCCTGGATGGGATGCTGATCCATCGCTGGGTTACTCCCAGCATTAAAGGGCATTTGACACCCTTCTGCGCATGTGCGACAACTTGATTTCTTATCCGACGGAACAGTTTTCAAAGTTGATATTTGTGTGAAAAATCCTTCTCCATCGACATTGTGGGGGGTGTGAAAATAGTAATACCGATATTGAAGAACTGTTTAGTCATCCATGACAGATTTAAGCGGCATACTTTGTGTCTTGAGTTGAATACCGTCGAGAAATACGCCGTCCTCAAGAGGGGGTTTTCTAAGCGGCTAGAGACGAAAGCTTCTTTCACCCCGTAGCCGTCTTGTTTGGAAAGAAAAAAGAAAAAGGAAAAAAAACGAAAAAAATAGGAAGGGTTTTGACCTAATAATTACCTCGTAAACCACGCAAGCGCCTCCTACGTCGAGCTGTGAATGTAAATTTGAAAGACGTGAATAGAAAGTAACTAATCTAGCACCATTATCGTTACCGAGAGCTAATCCCAAACAGGCCCACCCGGCTGCATTCACGCCAAAATGCTATTTAGGCTAACCAATGTGCCATTCAACCGAGCTAACGGACGTGCTATTTAGGCTAAACGAAGCGCCATTCAGGCCAAGCTAACGGACCTGTAATTTAGGCCAACCGAAGCGCCATTTAGACGAGCTAACTGATGTACTATTTAGACGACCCGACTTGCTATCTAGACTACTTGAGCAGTGTTTTATTGACACATGACTCACAGAGGAGACTTCTGTGAAGCCGGTGTCAGACTTTGTTACTAACCTCGGAGGGTGAGACACACGTTGACTAAGTTCACGTGCCTTCGCCAATCTACAAGGAAGCAAGAACAGAGACTAAGTATCAGCATGAACAATATTTAACTTCTAGAGCCACAACAGTTGCAAAAACAGCATTACAGGTCATCGCCAAGGCCTGTTTTAAAGTCTGTTTTTGTTCAGTCTTTAGTGCAATAGAACCGTGTGTAAGTTCACGCTTATGCAACTTTAGGGAAGAAAAAATGTGCTACGTTTGTACGTCTGTGCTCAGTTTTCAAGTGTTAGGCCAGTTTTACTTTGCGTTGTGATTGATTTATTGCTTGTGTCTAGAGCAAATGGCCTCCCAAATGTCTCTGACGGATAGTTTCGTCAAATTCGAAAATGGGCACAACACCTAACCTGAAAAACCTCCATATCTTTACACGGCAGCAATCAAGACGTCTTATCGTTTAGTGATTTTTGATCGTTTAACCAAGAACACTACATTACACGCGTTTTGAATGAACGCATGGAAGTCCCGGGATGGGGACTCCCATACAAAAAGGACCGGGGGGTGCTCGTCGGAAATTTTGAAAAGAACCCCCAATAGAAACCAAGTGTTTTTCACCCCTCGGGGGTACCAATTCTAATACAACACAGTACCTCCTGTCATTTCTTTCGGCTCAGTACCCTAAAAGGCACCGCAAAAGCTTCTGCCATGGACCTTTAGAGGTTGAACACCCTGAGAGCTACCAAAACCACTTTTTCAACCCCTAAAAGGTACGACGAGCACCCCCCGTCCTTTTTATATGAGAGTCCCCCCCCCCAACCCAAACAATTCCAGAGCTCTTAATAGCGTTCTGTTTACAAACAGACAGGGTTATCCCCCGTGGTACCACCTCATTAGCGTTTTCCTCGGGCTTTGTGCAATGATCACGGTGATCAAATGAAAACTTTGAATCTTATAACTCACGTTTGCCGAAGCAGATGTGGCTCAATCGGGGCTTTCTGCCACGAAGACCTGCAAGATAGATACAAAAGAGTCAGGATAAGGCATGGTCGATTGTCGGCTCGATTCATATCGATTGGAAGACCCCAGATCTTTATAACTAGTTGGGAAAACGTACGGAGTGTCGAAAGTAAGCAGGCAAATACTTTGGTTTTTGGTTTACTACGGTTTGAGATTGGCTGAGTAGTCTAATTGGTAAGTAATTGGTTTGGTTTTGGTTTTACGACACTCAATTGAAAACCACTCTATTCGCAAAAAAATCGTTAATTGTTTATTTGAAACCAAAAGATAGCACGAACGCCGAATTAAACGTTTAATAACGCTGAGGAGACTTATGTAATGTTACAGCCATTGTTCCGGATAGTTCTTCAAAGGGACGGCATGCAAACGTGTGGCATGCTTAGCGTGACCAAGCCCTCTATTCTTTCCTTCTCCAAACCTCTCCCAAATAAAACGAAATGAATAAAAAGATGCAAAAAGTAGGGATGCGTATAAGGAGAGTGAGAGGCATTTGAAAGAAGCAGGAGATTGGAAAATTGTCATATACGGTAGATACTACGCGAATCAGGTAAGGCTCATGAATTTTTTTGTTTTTAATTTGTTTTTGTTTGTTTGTTTTTTTTTTTGTTCTTTTGTGTGTGTGTGTGTGTTTTGTTGTTTTTTTTTGTAGCAATGCATATTTTTCATGCCCTTGGTCAAAAACTATGCTAAACACTGTCTTACTCACAGAGTTTCCCTCTATCATGTTTGTTTGGTATATACATGTAATTGATACATTCATGAATCACCCACTTATCTCGGTTTTTTTTTAGAAAACAAAAAGAAGTATACAAAATACATGTTTGCAAAATACAGTTCCTTTATAAACATGAAGTGATTTTATTTTATTTTATTTTCCAATAATATGTTGTTTAAATTTAATTACAATCAATTTTGCTTTTGTTCTTTCCAAAAAGCTCCTAGTCCCATGAATATCACTTACCAGTAATACGCAGGTTTCCATAGCGAGTTCTCACTGTAAATCGCTTATTGGGCGCTGAAACAACAAACACGGAATTTCAATCGTAAGAAATCTTAATCACATCACTGCCCAGGAAAAGGAACTAGTCTTGATCAGAGAAAAATGACCAGACTGCTGTGTGGTGACCAGACCAACCAAAACAGGCTCAGCGTTTTTGTTTGCTTGTTTGTTTTTGTTTTTTGTCTTGTTTTGTTTTGTATTGTTTCTTTGCTCTCATGTTATTTTCTATTGCAATACAGTGCAGGGCCGCCAAGGCAGCAGTACGGCACTCTCCTACATCCTGTTTTACATGGTTTTACTTTAAAATAAAATGGTTGTAACTTTTTTTTCGACGATACTACCAGGAAAAGATAGATTCCGTTATATCGCATACCCGTGGTATGTGTTTCAATATATCTCATTCAGCTCTCAATTAAAACAGTTTTGTATAATTGCAGAAGGGGTTTGTTTCGTGTTGTTTCCGCTTCTGTTCTCGTGTGATGGAGTTTGGTTTTCATTGCAAGGAGGGAGGTGAATATGATGCAAGTAAAATATCGTAAAACCAAAATAGTTCACCCCAATTTTCAACTGAATGCTCAGAAAATTTTATAAGTTATTGCCACCTGATGACACGTTACCAAGACTTCTCTGAAGGATTTCCTTACAAAGAGAGCAATTGACACCACAGACCGGTTGTGATATGATTATTATTAACCTGCACTGACACGGAAACTAAAGTCATGTGGAACAATATCTCATGACTGTTTTGAGAGGGATCCAAATATAATGGGAACATTGTACAACAACATACCTGCGTCTGCGCTGGTAGCATTCGTCACTCCGTGAAAGCTGCGCTCCACTGGATCTAAGAATAACAATTTTTAGTCGAGAGTTAACTATTTCGAGGGTACCTTTCTAAATGTGGGTTAAGGTGTCGCCTGCTTCACAAAGCCTTTTCCTCATTTCCGACCTAAATATACTATTTTCTACACTTTTATTCAGGCCTGAACGTTTCTTAAACACTGTATTTCAAACCAAAGGCGGTATGGGCTCGTGCTTAATCAAATATCAGTGACCTCTTTGCATGTTTTCATTTGCCCAATAACTTATTTGCACGTTTTCATTTGTCCAATAAAATCAAGAGTGGTCAATGCAGATTACGGGACAATATAAATAAACTATGCCACTAAATTCATTCTTATTGGCAAAATTTTACCCTATTTCAATCAGAAAACGTAAATGTTATAAATCGATTTCCCACTGAAGCGACTCGCTCAACTTACTTTTACTTTCTTTTGGTAAGTGTTCTTGCTTTGTCCCATGTTGTTTGATGATCTCCTTTAGTAATGTCCTTTTAACACGAACCGATTGTTGACTTTTAAAGTCGGAATCTTCCTCATCGGAAGAATGTGATGAGCGAATATCGCTCGTAACAATGGCCACTCCATACCTGAAACAATCAAATTGATCTTAGGAGCTAGTACAATATGTTAACATTTTAAGGGAAAAAATCATTAACAAATACAGCTGAGGAAATTGCTGCATTGGACTGAGAATAAAAATCTCAATTTTGTGCAAATTTTCCCTGGCTCGCACTTGGCGAGCAGAATTTAGTCATTCCATATCGTTGCTTTACAGCGCTGGGTTAAGAACTAATGTAAGGTAAATTAAAGTCCTCGTTAGGCCAGTGGCCTATGTAGCCGGAGTGTATCCAAGGTTCTGTATTCTGAGTATTTTTCCTTCCCCTGGATGCTAGTCCATCGCAGGGTTACCACCAGCATTAAATTCGCCGGTTTCCATTTGAAGACCGTACCTGGGTGGAGAGAGGCACCGTGAGAATTAAGTGTCTTGTCTAAGAACACAACACACTGACCCCGGCCAGCGCTCGAACCCGGACTACTCGATCCGGAGACGAGCGCGCTAACCATGAGGTTACCGTGTCTCGACTATGAACTAATGTACCATAATGTATAACAAAGGAGTGGCGTATGGTCGCCAAGATCGCTGACAAAAAGAGTTCAGCGACCGTTGTAATGGCATGGAAACGACTGCTCGCCGAATGCAGCGATTGCTGTCGAGATTGACTTCAGTTCTATCGGACTGTAACGATCATATGGAAACCACTTTCCGGAGATTGTGGTGATCGTTACGAAGATAAATGTATACCAGACTGTTTGATCCAGGTCCCCTAGGAAATTTTTTATTTTGTAGCGATCATTTGGAAACTGGTAGGCGTAAGGATCGCCCAACTTTTTCTGAAGATCGTAACGATTCGTGGGAGGGGGTACATCATGGACACCAGCCTTTGATAACCTTTTGTGTGATTTATAGAACAAGTCAGCTTCATTTCAACACAATGACTTTGACGGAGATTTTCAACAAAATCGTTGCGTGATAAAATGGTAAATGAATTTCAATCCTCAGTCAAGTGGATAATTTACGGATTGTCCGGCCAAGGTTATATAAAATCTTAACACCAGTTTACTTGTTTATTTTTTTAATATGCTACCTGCCAGTAGCTTTAGGACCCTTTAGTGATAACAGCCATCAATTGTTCCTTAGTTTTCTTTCAGAAATCGGCGCACGGTATTTTTTTCCACCCTTGAGATTGTTGATTCTGGTAATTTACCGGACCAAATGTGATAAGGCTCTTTATTCTCAATTCCTGCATTATTGCATTTGTATTGATATTTTGAAGGGAAAATAACTTTTGATCACGCTAAGATGACTTTGGTTCTGTGTTGAAGTTTTTGTTTCTATAGCTGGTACGTAGAAATAACCTGCAGACCACGAAAATAAATCCACTGGACGTGTATCAACTGCATATCACGCTAACACGCCGTCCAATAGAATCATAGCATGTGTCTAAAAACATCTTACCCGAACTTAAAACAACTGGAATCGATGCAGTAATATTACTCTCGCCACTTGTTAGGGTTTGATATCGGGTTTCCAGCATTACTCGTTGAGCAAAAATACGTAATCGATATCTTGCAGATAATATCATGTACATGAGCTGACCGTTATGTTCTCATTAATAAAGCAACTGCACGTCATTGAACACGAATGGTAAAGCAAACTTGTACTACATTTCAGTAACTATAAACTCTGTGGAGTACTTCTGATTCTCGTTGAATATTTACTTAAATCACCCTCCTTTAGATAACTAATAACTATCTGCTTTTAAACACAAGTGAAAAACTTCTGATGGTTTTTGTGCGTTTTATCTACTGTGAACTCCAGACATTATGCGATACCTACCATGTCTTCGAGGAAACCTTGCGAAAAAAAACCGTTTGAATTAACAACAATTTCAGATGCATATAATGCATTCACAGAATGTATTCTTTGGTGTGAATATCTAACACAAAGGCCTCTATACGAGTCGGCAAGAATTTCATTAACAAAAACTGAAGAATACTATCATATTTTCAAATATCGTTTTGGTCAGAAATAGGCTACGCTATCGTCTGAATTGCCTTCGAGATATAATCCGTGGTATCAGGACATGCTTTCCTTCTAGTTTTAGCAAAAGCAGTCCCGGTTTTTTTATATACCTTTCAGCATTTTGTGTTCGATGCAGGGATAACTACATAAGGAAGGCAATTGACTTTAAGTGCCTCGAGATATCTCAGTGCAAGAACGAAAAATTTAATTTTCGTCATAAATGATTAAAATTTGGCTTTAACCCTAGAGATGAAAATCAATTTGTTTCATACCTGAATTACAAAGCTTTAAGGCCACAAGTAACTGGAAACCATAACCTTCGATTCTGCTTAGTATATATCAAATATTTGTATATCGTTGGATTTTTTTGTTAGCTTTTCTTATCTGATAATAAAGAATACTACTTTAACTAAACACAGAAAGGTTGTTTTCGAGATGAAGTTAGAACGCAGTTAATAAAACTCGAACTTACAAGACTTGCATCGCACAGTGTAGTGACTAAACGTAATACTATGGAAGAGCTTCGAAAAGATCACAAGCAAATAAAGCTGTTAAGATAAATGATAGCAAAATACTAAGAATTATCAAATCATTTGTACTTACAGGAGTAGAAAGAAGACCCTCATGCCGGGGTCGCCCGAATTAAGGACGATCCTTACCCATAAGGGAATTCCAGACAAAAGACCAAGATTCTTGTCTCGCGAGATTAATACGTTCAGACATTCCTATGCATTTATTCATCACTTGATTTTGCTCTTTGTTTATGATATTAAATCCAAACTTGGGCAGGTACAAGGCAAACTTCTTGTCTAAAACCCGTTAAATTTACCAAACTCGATCCTAAACATACGAGTCATAAGACTAGAAACCTTTGATGTGTTGTGTTTTTGTCAACGCACGTCGCTTCAGTTTTGTCAGCAATTCCATCATTACAGTTGAGATTTAGTAAGTACGGTAAGTTAAAATAGCTCTCACGGTTTTTAGTGGAGTATAATAAAATGATATAATACCTGCTTCACATTGACAGTAACCTTATTAATTGATGGAACAATGGTAAATTCATGGCAAAACGTCAAATAATATCTTTAACACGAACAGAGCGTAAACGTCATTTTAAACTTTGTTCACAGGAATTACTTACTTGTTACGAAAAGCAAGCCGTTAGTTGCAGAGGAAAAGCCATCTTTTATAGTAAAATATAAAATAAGATGTTTGTTTTATTTCCTATGGAGCATATAGAAAAGGCAATTTCTTTTTAATTTAGTTTAAAGAAAAATATTTGTATATATACTTGGCAAACTTGATACCTGTCAAGACAACATTTGAGACAAAGGCGATGATTTTAACGAAACAAAATCTCAGAGAGGAGAGGTTACCAAACTGATATGAATTTCTCATCTCTTTCTAAGTTCTACTTAGAAAATACTGGAAGACGGCCAGAACTCCAAAAAATTTTTTAAAAAATCTACAGCCACTTGCTGTGCGAGAACAAAACGGTTACACTAACAACATGTGTCCCTTCAATGCCACTTTTTTTCCCTTTTTTTTTCTATCGCCAACAACAAAGTTACGCCACAACGCAGTAAACCACTTGGAACTGTAAAGGAACAATTGCTGAGCTAGTAAATTTTAATTGCCATTTTTGTCAGCCGGGTTGGAGCTTAATTACAAAACGTGTATCAGTTGTTTCGTCTTTAAAACACGAAAAACAAAACGAACTTTTCACACACTAGGACACTGGGATATTGATTTTTGAATCGTCGAAAGCCAACAGCCCCGAGTCCCTTCAAGATAATCTCTAACCATCTGATCCTGTTTTAAAGTGGCAACTTGTTTCCAATTTTAGAGCTTTCCTGAAACTTCTTTGGTTTGAGTTATCAGTTAAAAACATATTATTAACTAACATAACACATCATCTTTATACTCAGCTTTTTCAATATATCAAATATCAGCTATTAGTTAACTTTCAAAGAATTTTACAACTCCGAAGGATTTTGTAAAAGTTCTATCATTCTAACGCAGTTGTTCTTGATGTCCTTTGCGTTGTAATGGTGACCTTTATTTCACCCATACCCTTCAACGGGGAGCTTGCAAATTTACTTATCACGGCCATTCTAGTTATAAAAGATATAGAATAGATTATTCGCCAGGTTTTCACGTATGGCGATAGCCACTAAAGCCCACATTTTGTACTATACACAGGGAATAATATTGTTCCTTTCGAAAACGACTTCTTATTTCACTCAGTAGTAGATTATACCACTGATTACTAGATTGTA